CTGTGTGTATCTGTGTGCATGGTGTGTGTGTGTGTGTGTGTGTGTGGTGTGTGTGGGGTGTGTGTGGGGTGTGTGTGGTGTGTGTGTGGTGTGTGTGTGCATTTGTGTGGTGTGCGTGTATGGGGGGTGTGTGGTATGTGTGTGGTGTGTGGAGTGTGCGTTTCAACAGACGGGAAGCAGGCGGGCAGGGAAGGGCTGTCCTGCCTCACGGCACAGTGGAACGCGGACGCCCTGAGGTGCTAAGCGACTGCCCACGGTGGCAGCTTCGACCCTGTGTGATGCCGAGGCCACCCGTGGAGAATGAGGAAGCAGCACTTTATGGCCCCAGCGGAGGACGTGGGCCCAGGCCATGATGCTCAGGGCCGCCCCGCAGCGGGTGGCTCTGTGTCTGCTTGGGGGGAGCCTGGGCCACGCACGCCACCGGCTGTCACAGCCGCGGGGCCTCGCCTTACCTGTGCGTCTGTGCTTCTCTGGGACGTGCCGGACCTCCGTGTACACCACGTCTGCGTCGTTAGCGTTCACTGGGGAGGAGGGTGGACTTTGAGAGGAGCTTCCTGCCTCTTGTCTGAACTACGTGCCCCTCCGCAGCCGGCACAGCTTCTGGGGGGCTGGGGTCCCCGGGGCCTCCACCAGTCCCGCACCGCCCTGCCCAGACCCACCCCACCCCGGGGCCCCTGCCCGACGGGGAGGCCGGGACTCACCATTGCTGTACACCGGCTGCATCTCCACCCAGGCCGGCACGTTGTGGTAGGTGGGCTCCTGGGGGTCCGCGCCGGACGGGCCGCTGTGAGACAGAGACACGGCGTTCCCCAGGGTCCCGACCACGTGGCTACAAGGGACACGCCCAGCCGGCTAGCGAGTCTTTACCGCAGGTGACCGCTGAGCCTGGCCACGTGGATGGCACTTACAAATGGTCTGTCGCTGTGACCCATCGCGTTACAATGAGCGGTAAGTTAATGTCACCCACGTTTCTGGACTCGGCGGGCGCCACGTGCGCCGGGCACTGGACCAGGGCTCGCGACAATAGTAACTCGATTCTATCACTACCCCTATCGTGTGGATGAAACAGTGGAAGTCCCACGAG